GATAGAAACAGTCTTTTTATGTGGAAATAAAACAATAGGAGCAAAAAGATCTCATTCCTTTTAAAAACAAGGCCCTACCAGTTTCAAAACCAAAGCACCAGAAATCAATGTCCATTTTTCAAAATGTTGGCTTAAATGTTTCAGTGTCCTAGTTATCTTACAAAGCAGAAAAGGAAAAGGTACAGGCAATACAGGTGTTTCAGCCTGCAGCTGGCCCCTCTCCTCTGCTCCCTGTACCTTCTCCAAACCGGGATGTGGGGAGCAGTACCTGCTCCACTCTTGGTGCCTGGGAGGCATAGAGTAGCAGGGGAAGGCTCCCTATGCCCTTCCCAGAATGGGGTCACCCTGATCTGGGGAAGGATAGGGAAAGTCTTCAAGAGGGGAAGGAACAGCAGAGCAGTGTTCCCCCCTGCTTCTCCAAACCAGCATCCCTTGGACCCTGAGTTGCTCCAGGAGGGCAGTGGTAACTCAGTTCTTCAATTCTCCTGGTAGAAACAGAACACCTGTACATGGCCATAGTTGTTTTCCTGAAAGTGCAAACAGACCAAAGCAATAACCCCAAGAGATGTATTCATGTCTCCTCACATGTCAATTCATTTTTAAATACGAATGTGAACGAAGATGGGCCATAAACTTTTTGCTTTTTTAACCGTTAATTGTTTGCTTTTTCAATGTAGAAAAAACATCCATTGTTGACGTTTTAAATCTCTCTTCTTCTGTCTTCCTTTTTTCTGGTCCTACCAATTTTCTCATGGGTAAAAACTTAAAAAGAGGGAAGGGGAGACAAAATCATAGAGGTTTTTTGCCTCGTTCTTATAATTTATACAAGAATTATATCATTTCATAATTGAAAAAAATATTTTTTTTCAAACTTCAAGTGTCACAAACATTTTGGGGCAATTTTTCATTGGGGGGGGGGGGAAATATATATAAATAGCTGCTCCAGCTTCCCCTTAGCAATTTTTTTCACGTAGCTACACGTTATCAACACTGAAATCTGAAAGTGCATTGCAAACTGAAAAATGTAAAACCAGTGTGAAATGCATATAATATCAAAGTAAATCAATACAGCAAGGGCTGCTGAACTGATTGTGTTATTTGTTTTCATATTTAGATCAATCATAGCACATTTCTTAATTTGTATGGAGCAGTCACAACATATTCAGATTGCTGTACTGGACAGCCTCAAAAACCAGGTTGCAATATGGTAGTCCTCAACTATAGTGAAAAGTGTGGGCACTTACACAAGTTACATTTTTTGTGCAATTGGGCCCCTGAAAGCGTTCTGAAGCCATGACATAACACACGTGCATGGCTGCAGAGTACTTTTAAACTGTCTGATAGCGTGAAAAATTAACCCTTGTCAAATCAGGTATTAGATGAAGAGCACCTCTCTAAAGGACAGCGCCTTAGGGAACTTGTGTTCCCTCCAGGGTTCATTTTTCACACCAGTGAGCACCAGCCAAGCCCTGCCCCCACGACTGTCAGCAGGAGGATGAGGGGGATGAAGGAACAGGCAGGCAGCTACCGCCTGGATTTGGCCTAGCTGAAGCTGGAGGGCAGGGGGTAAGGCAAAATGGAGCCCCTTTGCCTTGCAGGTCCCCTGACCCAACTCATGGTGTAAAGTGCCGTGAGTTAGATCAGGGCCCCTTAATATCTGTAGGCACCCTGTATGATCATTTCTGTTATAACCTCTGGGTTCATCTTGCTATAAAGAAAATGAGAATAGCTTGACCATCTGTAGGAGATGAATGGTTGTGGGAGAATATAATATACCTTTCAAAGAACTGTAGAATTTGTCTCAGAACAACTGAAAAGGTCAGGAAGCTATGCCAAAGCAAAAGATACGTTAATGCTATAATTAAATGCCATAATATAGCCCTTATTTGATCATTGTATTTATCCATTGTATGTCATTTGAAAGGAGCACTTCCCTCATTCATAAGGTACACACTCAATCTTGGTAGTATCTAGCCATTTTTTTCCAAATGATTCAGTTTTAAAAATGTCACCTTTTGAGCTGCACTGCAAGTTTGTATCTCTTAAAATGCATAATTATCTCATTCACTGTTGCTTTGAATATAAGATTTTCATGAAGTCCACCTAATTGGCACAGAGAAGTACAAGATGTGATGTGTATGTACTTGAGGCTGTTGGAAAAAATGGTATCTACTATTTTTCAGTCTGTAATGTTGTAAGTGAAGACTATCATGATGCATATGCACAAGGGGGCAGTGTTAGGGTTTCAAAAACAGTGTTAACTATGGCATTTTCTGACTTCTGAGTGCTTAACCATGCAACCATAAATTTCTCTTAACATAGTATTTTTTATGGAACAAATCATTACCTCCTCACCAACCAGTTTGCTCTCTAGATTTCCCCTGTGTTCTGAAGCACTCTTCAGTTATACTAAGTATTCCTTTTTAATGTGATTTCAAAACACTAGAGAATCCCGATTGAGCCAGCTAGTGAAAGATTCCATTAGGAGGAAAATAGAGAAGTGTCCACTCGTTTTAGTAAAATAAAGTGTGTGTTAACAAAAAGCAAATCACATTGTATAACAGTAATGCTGTCAATGAATAATTCATATTTAGTTATTTCATACTACACTTGTAAATGCAAGTTGTAAGCATGTATTCTCTCCAGAATCCTTCAGGGAAGTTTTACAAATCCTTCAGGACTCTCATCCTATACATTGACTCTTCCCATCGAAGAGTCCATCGAAACTTATAGTTTCCCATTTTATAGTACAAGAGTACAATCTCATTCAGAGAATTTATTTTAAAACCATTTGTCTTTTTAGTTCTCTCACTTGTACCATACAGGAGATGGTATTATACCATAAAATTTGATCTTGACAGTGTGAGACAATTTATACACCAACATGGCAAAGCACTCCCTGCCCACCCAGCATTAGCGGGTGTGGTGGTGGTATGGAGTTGTGCCCCCCTGATGCTGCTGGGTGGGCAGGGGTGCACAGCTGGCGTGGGGCTCCTGAGGGAAGGGCAGCAGGGTGGGGAGCCTTGAGCCTGCAGTGGGCAACACACATCCTCCCAAGCTCCTTTTTGCCCAGTTCTTGCCCAGCCATGGTGATGGCAGCAGTGGCGGACAGGGGAGGGGGGCATACGAACAATTGTACCTCAAAGGGGGTCTCAGCTTAAAAAGTTTGAAAACCACTGTCTTAGATGCCCAGTAGGTGGAACATGATATGGCTCTTTCTTCTTACTCAAATTATCCTGCCAGAATGCAGCACCAACTAAAGAATAAGTATGAAGCAAAAAAAGTCTTATGATTTTGTCTCCCCTTACCTCTTTTTTTTCTGTTTTTGCCCATGGGAAAATTGGTAGGACCAGGTAAAAGGAAGAGAGAAGTAAAATGTAAACAACTGAAGTTTTTTTCTACATTGAAAAAAAGCTAAAGGTTAAAGGTTAAAAAAGCTAAAGGCTTCTGGCCCATCTTCTTTCACATTCTTTCGCATTCATATTTAAAGATGAACTGACATGAGAGGAGACATGAATACATCTCTTGGGGCTATTGCTTCTGTCTGTTTGCACTTTCAGGAAAACAATTATGGCCATGTACAGGTGTTATGTTACTTGCTTTTGCAGTGTTTAGGCATTTGATTTTAAAGAGGAATTTCCTAAGAACAATATGAAAAAGCCAAACATGGCATGCAGCATTATGAATTTTTCAAACAATAGTATCTTTGATTATACATTGCGGTGATCTTTGTTTTTAATTCCTTTGCTAAGAACCTACTATACTTAGAATACAAAAGAGGTGTACGATGGGGTTAAAGTTTAGCTTTGGGAGAGATATTGGCAATATATCTTTGTTGTATGTGGAATGAAAGTGCCTAATTTGCTTGAAGTGGCTGGATTGCCCACAAGAATAACAACAAGCCTTTCCCAATGGTAAACCTCCATCATAACTATCATTCAGCTGAAAATGGGTGGGCGTACTTTCTTTGTTAATCTGTTTCAGCTGTAGTCAGTGGGTGAGAAAATACTTATGGAACACACATTTTCAATTCTTACATCTTATTCATAACTATAGATTGGGTTCTGTGTTTCATATGGTTTTAAAACAAGTCAAATGTTTGTCTATCCCTATGATCTCTAAGTAGCAAACTACAAATCCTTGGAAGTTATCCACCTTGGTACCTGTATTCAGACTAAATAGGACCAGTATTCATATAAAACTCTTCCTGCCACTTCATGCATACACATTCCAAGCTGATTCCCATTCAGAGTCCCTCAAAATCTTGCTGGTTTCCAGAGACTGATATTTCCTCTTTCCTTTACGAACTGGTTTGTATTTGGCTTGTATTATCATTGTTCATAGGCAGCTGATCTCCTTAAGTTCCTTCCAAGACAGTTTGTTTTTCAAGTAGTTACTGCAGCGTCTAAAACAGTTAATTGAACTCAGTCTCAGTCTGGAGTCTTTCCTAGCATAAAAAAAATATCTGAAGAAACCCTTCTAGGTGCCCTCTTTATTATAAAATTAGCTTTGCATTGTAACCAACCTTTTCCAGAATGTTTTATTTTTTTGCCATCTTTTTGCAGGTATTGAGTTCTGCAGGTCTTAATATGTATATTAATTTTTTCCCGCATATTTCAAACAGTTTCCCCCAAAATATGAAGGATATACTCCATTGTCTGTTTAAGTGAAAAATTAGACCAAACCCAATAAACTTTCAGCCTATAGAATGCATATGAAAACCCATGTCAGGAAAGCCATCCTTGCAAGTATACAAATGTAAACAGAATATTGTAAGGACTTCCTAAAATTAGTAGGTTAAGGATGAATGTCATTTTTCCCTACTGAACTGGTATGCACTAAATTAAAGAATATGTACTATATTAAAAGTTGTAGGAATCTCCTTTCTATATTTACTGCTGACAACATTGGGAGGTTACCTTAATAAATGTTTCATGTTTTATAAATAGCATTTTACATGTGAAAGTGTGTTCTTCCCATGCCTTCTTTTGTTTTTTCAGCTTGCTTGGGAACATGGAATACCATTTTTTGAGACCAGTGCTAAAGACAACATAAACATTGAGGATGCATTTTCATTGTTGGCCGAAGAGATACTAAACAAGGTAGGTTCATTTTTCAAGTGATGAGGCAAAAGGAGGATTTTCATGGCCATATCCTATGGACAGTAAGCTGCAGAGATAGAGTGGTACCTGCCACCACTGCACCATGGAACTGTCAGGTATTTTGTACCCTAGCACAGAGGAAGTTTGAGACAGGTGTTTTGGTACACCGGCCACACACGTTTCTGCAGAGGAAGGGGCAGCAGTCACAAAGCGGTTCCATTGCTCTGTGACATAGAGGGGGTCTCCTTGTCTGCAGATCTCCATACCATACTGCAGAGCCTGAGAAAAGAGGCCATACACAGATGGAAGAAGTGGTCTCTATGTTTAGTTAGCAAATGTGTGATACAAAATTCCTAAAATTAGTAGGTTGAGGATGAATGATTTACATTGGTATTGACAGAGAAAAAATGGAAATCTGCTTTTGAAATTGCAAGGACATGAGCTAATTAGCAAAGGGATCAAAATAGATGCAGTCTGACTCCATGTCTGTCTCACCCTCAAGGATGTGTCAATGCAAAGGTACCTACCACTGTATGGCAGGAACTGAACACTAGAGAAACTGCTGTTAATTAGCTAAGAAAACATTTTCCATCAAGATTTATTTCTAGATAGTAAAATATTACTGTAGACATTAAGGCTAGGGACAGACATTCAAAAAGCCTGAGCCTGAATTGATTCAGTCTTTGCAGATTACTCTGACCTGCAGAGAGTGAACCAGTTTGCAAGTGGATGGATGTTCGGCACATGCCTGCAGTGGCTCAAGCCAGAAGCCCAGGGACGCTAAAGCAGCCCCCCCTTCCACAAGGAAGCTGAGCTGAGGAGGGTGGAGTGTGGCAAGGCCCTCGCATGCCCGCCCCCATGGCTTCCTGACAGCCAGGAGCAATCTGGGCAACAGGACTGCTTGGCTCCAGAGGGTAACCTGTCCTCCTCTTCCCTGTCTCCCACTGCTGCAGAGCTGGGAGGGGGGTCCTGTTTGGTGCTGGGGGGGGCTCTTCTCCCTCCTCCTCTCCCCCTAGCAGTGGGGTGGGGAGGGGTGTCTGCAAGGCTGCCTGGCCCCAGAGGAGGACTCTTTTCCCTGCTTCTCCCCCATCACTGCATGAGGGGGTGCTCTATGGGATGCTGCCCAGGGCCAGAGGGGGACTCTTCTCCCCACTCCTCCCTCCCAGGGCAGGGGGAAGTTCTGTTCCATGATGGGGGGAACTCTTCCTCCTCCTTCTACCCTGCAGAGGGGCAGTTGGATCATGGAGCTCAGCTGGGCAGGGTGTGGGGTGTGAGGGAGGGGGTGGTGTAGAGAGCCGCACACACTCCCCCCATGGTGTGCAGCCCTCACTACCTGACAGCAGCAGCAGGCAGGGAGGTCAGGGTGCTCGTGTCTGGTACAGGCACAGCTCCGGCCTGGGCTGCACGGGGGGAAGGAGCAGAGCCTGCCTTGTCTCTGCGATTCTGCTCCCTGAGACTCAGTTTGCAGCAAGGGAAGCCACACTGAAGCCAGCTGCTTCCCCCACTCCCTGCTGTGCATGTCCTGCACTCTGCCAGGAATGGAGGGAGCCCCATCCCTGCTTCCCCACAGAGTCCAGCATGGAGCTTCCACGCTGTGAGTGTGGAGCTTCAGGTGCAACGTATAGCCGCAGGGATAGAAGCAGCTGGACAGGGTGTGTGGGGCTGCACTCCTCACCTCCAGTGCAGCACTGGCTGCCTCTGTTGTGGCTCCACGCTGCGCCTGCAGCTCCTCTCTCACAGAGGGGGAGCTCTGCGCTGGATTCTGTGGAGAAGCAGGGGGCAGTGCTCCCTCCACTCCCAGCAGAGTGCGGGACCTGCACAGCAGGGAGTGGGGGAAGCAGCTGGCTCCAGTGTGGGGCTTCTCACACTGCAGGCTCAGGGAGCAGAGCTGCAGAGATAAGGCAGGCTGTACTCCCCCGCCCCGTGCATCGCTGGCCAGAGCTGCGCCTGCTCCGGTCATGAGCACCCTGACCTCCCTGCCTGCTGCTGCTGCCAGGCAGTGGGGATTACACACCATGGGGGGAATGTGTGGGGGTGCCTACAACCTCCACCCTCCCTCACACTCCAGACACCTACACCCTGCCCCGCTGAGCTCCGCACTGCCACTGCCCCTCTGGGGGGAGGAGGAGGAGGAGGAGGAGGAGTTATCCCCAGCATGGAACAGAGTCTTCCCCTGCCCCCCCCCCCCACTCTGGGACCAGGCAGCATCGCATGGACCCCCACTCCCACTCCACCCTGCAGCACCAGGCGGGGCAAGGGAGGAGGAGGAAGAGTTCCCATCCAGAGCCTCACAAAGTCCCCCTCCCCACCCTGGGAAGAGGAGGAGGGGGAAGAGCCTCCCACAGCATAGAACAGAGCCCCCCTCCCAACCCTGCGGGACAGCCTACCCAGCATGGCCCCATTAAGATGAAGAGGCAGGGAAAAGGGTTAATTCCTCCCTCTGTCTCTTCCTTGACGTCGGGTCTGCCAGCTCCAGGGGCTACCGCTGCAGTCCCCTCTTCTCTGCTCCCCAGCAGACAGGCTGACCCTGACTGCGTGGGGGAGGAGGGGAAGGAGGGAAGAATTAACCCCCTCCCTGCCCACTTTGCCTTAACGGGGTCATCCAGCCAGTGTCTCTGCTAGGGCGGGTCCCTGTTCCAGCTAGAGAGCAGAGGAGCGGGGGCAGCCCTGCGGCTGGAGCAGAGAGCCCTGCCCATCCCAGACAGCATGCCAGCATGCTGGGGGAGTCTGGTTTATCTTAAACCAGCAAGTGGTCTGGGACAGACATTGCATAAACCAGTTTGAGCCAAATCAGTTAAGTCTGATACTACATTCAACCAAGTTTATCTCAAGCCGGTTTTGGCCATTTTGAAACTAGTTTATGTGCACTGAACATCTGTTCTGTTACAGGTTTAAACCAGCTTCTGATCACATAAAGCCTAATAGATGTTCTTCCTCAATGTATTTTTATTGCCATTCATCATCAATATCTGTTGGATAAAACTAGCCTTCTATTCAGAATAAGCTTGAAGCCATGATAAAGACAAATGAATAGAATTACTGACAAAGTCTGAAGTTTCAGCATTTTGATTTAAATGGCCATAGCAGCTACTTATACTAATCAGTTCAGGGCCAAACTGCTTGTAAACTAGAGACAAATGCAATTATACAACAACGAAAGGTGAATATGGTTGTTTTTTATGGAAAAAAATGTACTTGTTTAGATGAACCAGTGTCTCTTATGAAAATTCATCCCAGTAGTCTAAATGTTAACAAATGCCATCCTTATCAGAAACATTAATAGTAGACCCCTTAAGTAGCTTTACTCTAATTTCCTTGTAACTAAGGAATAGAATTAGCATTTACAGCAGGAATTTTGTAGCACAAAAAGATATTGTTGTCTAGTAAGCAGTAGACCTGTTTGCTATCACTAAGAAATATAAATTACCAGAAAACTTTACTTGTCTGGATTCACTAGGAAACTTATAGCATATCAATTCTAAACATCCTAAAGGGAAGGTAGAACAGTTTTTTTTCTAGAAACCTTTATTCAAATATATTTTTGACTATCAGTAAAATGATTATGGTAGTTTCAATCCAGTTAATCCAGGATCTTTATCTGTGAACAAATGCACAATTAGGAAGAGTAGTCATCAGCTTTATAAGTCCAGCATAAGATAGGGTAGATAACTGACATTAATTTGCAGAGGTGGTGGTAAAAGTTTTCTTGTCTCCTGTTTATAGTTTTACCTGGCTTCAAATTACTTTATTTTATAGGAGCTAAAATGTATTCCAGAATAAGCATTTTTGTGTTTAATTAGATTACATAATAGCAGTGATGTCAAGTCAGGAATTCAAAAAGATTTGGACATTAATTCAGTAATTCTTTATCATTTTCATTGCAAAGGAATACTTATTGATGGTCATTTCTCCCATCTGTATTCCTGCTGAATGGGTGCTGCTTTTGTATTTTGCTTTCAGTTGTGCAGCACACAGTAGAAATCTTGTATACTTTCTTTGTTAAGCGATGGAAGAGTCCTTTAGGCAGTATTCAAATAGCATTGAGAAGTCTGAAAGCCTGATCATATTTTATCAGACAAAGTGCTGTAGTATTGCTGGGAGAAGAAAGATGAATGCAAAAGATCCTATAAATAGCCATTATCTTCTATGAATAAAGCACAATAAGGTTGAAAATTACAAAATAATAACTGTGAATATAACTAGCTACAAAGGCAAGTGCATATTAAGATATGATCCCTGCTGACTTCCTGCCCCTGGGGCAGGGGGCTGGACTCGATGATCCTCCAAATGTCTATGAAATCTGTAATATTGTGCATACCATGTGTTTTGGTAGAATTTGAGAGATTAGGCTGCAACATGTTATAGTGACATTTAAATATCTATGTCACAGGTTACCCACTTTTGTATTATTCTGTGTGACTAATATATTAATTCACCTTTCAAATTTTCAGATTCATATTTTGTGTGCTGTAGATATGCAGTTAAACCCTGAGCGTATTAAGAAAGCTGTATCTGAGACCATGTGACTTTGACGAGACCTGTCTGAAGGCAGGAAGTGTGTGCAAGTGTAAAATGTTTGTGAGATGGCCTCATCCTTTCTGGAGTTGCTTCAGATCACTGGTTATCAGGCCCTTCTTTAGGTTATTTTGGTCAGTGGTTTGCTATCTTCCAGTGAATTTTTTTCTTGATTTAAAACATAGTTTCCTTGGCCTGAGTTCATTTATTTTTTCCTACTGAACCACTAAAAGTTTACCATAAAATTTAAAAAGTGCCTTAGAGTTTTGCTATCATTTTTTGTTTAAATAAAATCACTTGCTTTGTTATGAAACTGTGAAACCTGGATATATCACTTAGATTTTAACTTCCTCCATCTCTGTTAATGTTTCAGAGAAGTGAAAATTTAGTCAGCAAGGTGTCCACCATCTATGAATAATGGCATGATAGATGCCAATCTGAAACTATACCCTGGGGATCCATGTATGAGGGACAGTATTACATCT